GGGGCACACGCTCTCTGCCCTTGGGGGGTTTTAATTACAAACAGCCCCGCTCGGATTGTTTTACACTTGGTCCTAGAAATACTCCACCTGTACCGTCGCAAGACGTCGTCCCCTTCGCCATTTTTCACCTTTGTCTTTTTATTATGATTATTTTGTGTTTTTACCAACAGAGACAGCAAAACCAAACGTAAAATGGAAAAGTTCAGATTTGCAATGGACAAGCTTAAAGCGGGGGGGATCTGCTGCGCACCGAGACGTGTCTGCTCTAGCCAGGCTGCTACCTTCCTCCCCACCCCACAGAAACCTTCCTGAGGATTTGGCTTTGTAGATACTGTGGTGCCTTTTTTGGTATATGAAATACCTTTATAAATGATGCTTCCAAACTGCATTGTTTGCAAACCAAATCGAACCTGGGCTTTTCTTCTGCATTTCTTGTCTTTTGCTTTGGTCATTTTTACTTGTTCTGTTGTAAGCTCTTGCATGTTGTGACTCTCTTGCTCTTTCTTTTTTAATTTATTTATTTATTTATCCGGGGCGGTTTTTTTAAGATAAAGTATAAGTTGCTAATTTATGACCTTCTAAAAAAGAATCCAACCATATATTGCTGTTAGCCCCTGACTGCTTCAGAGCGAGGCTGTCTGTGGTCCTACGTTATAATATTAATAATAATGATGATAATAAAACCAATAACTCTTCCTCTTTGCATGGCAAGGCTGCCCCTTTCTACTCTAAAGATTGTTCAGGTCCCTCTTTTACTTGAGCAACTGTTCAATAATGGAAAAAAAAAAAAACCAAACCACAAATTTTCAGTCAATCTGAAACTGCTCCTGCAACAAAAAGCAAATGAATAAATGAAGTCAATAAAAAAATTCAACACTGTCACTTTAGAAGTGGGTCCGTAAGGGTGACCCTGCTGTGCATCCCTTCCGCCGGGGCCGCGGGCGTCCCACCAGCGCCTGCAGCCTGGCAGGGAGGATCGCGCCGCTCAGAGCCCTGCGGGGGGCCAGCCTCACCGCGGGGCTCCAGGAGGATTCCCAGCCTGTCCCGCCGGGGCCACCCAGCTCTTGCACCCAACGCGGGAGACGAACCGCCGCTTGCTCAAGGAGCACAGGTACCGGCGTGGAAAACCAGGAGCTGCGCAGCGGCAGGGACCCCAGCTGTGCCCTGGGACGGAGCCTCGGGGTGCTGACCCAGCGGGGAGAGCTTGGCGCCTTCAGAGGAGTGATCACACGGGAAAAAAAAAAAAATACAAAACCAAAGTGCACTGGCTTATAAATTTGTTACAAATGATGGCTTTCGGGAGTAACTTTCTTTTTTTTAAATGAAATGGTATAAAAACATAACAAAAGTTAAATGAACCATTTTTTAAAAAGAAAAAAAAAAAAAAATGTTCTTTCTTGGTTCCTGTAAAGAAAGCCTGCACTCTGGTATCAGAAGTAAAGTTGTCCCAAATGTGTCTCTGTGTGGAGTCGCTGCTTGTCGTGCCTCACGCGTGCTGGGTGACGGCAGCTCTGTGGCACCCAGACGGCATCTGAAGGGGGTCCCTGGTCCCTGGCTGCCAGGCCTGTGCTGATGAGGGACGGCTGGGGGTCCCAGAGACCCCCAGGGATTCTGCGTCCCTGCCGAGGGGACGGGACATCGGGGCAGTGGGTAATTGGGAGACTGGTGAGTGGGAATGCAGCCTCTGGGGCGCACCATGGCAAGGGTGGATCCTTGGGTGCAGGAAGCTGTGGTGGGGCCGAGCAATCGTCCTGCTGGTCCTGCACCCACCGCTGGCAGTGCGGGGAGGGAGTGTGGGAACCCAGGAATGCGCAGGTGTCCCTGTGGCTTGGTCACCCGTGGGCCTGGCCTGCTCGGGACACGTTTGTGCATGGGTGCGAGGGTTAATGCTGCTGGTGGGGCGGTTGGGCACAGCATGGGCCGTAGTGCCAGGGAGCTCGCAGCCGGAGCACCCATCACCAGCCTCCGCCAGGAAGAATG